TTAGAACGTAGGAGGAGGTACGACAGCACGAAGGGAGAGTGTTGAGGGCAGGGGACGAGGCGCGTTAGAACGTAGGAGGAGGTACGACAGCACGAAGGGAGAGTGTTGAGGGCGGGGGACGGGGAGCGTTAGACCTGCAGGAGAGTAGGGGGCGCCGCAAGCATCCGTACAGTAAGCTTACACGACTGCCGGGCCTAAAACGCCCCCGCCACGCCCGCAACGGTGACCTACAGGGGGCGCCAAAATACCATCTACACTCAATCGCAGACGAACACCAGGGGGCGCTCACTACCTTCACTTCCTCGACCGTGCCCGACTCCGCGACCTACAGAGGGCGCCGAAACACACGCACGGACACCAGGGGGCGCTCACCATCTTCATCTCCTCGACGGTGTCGACCTTGGGAAAGAGGACGGTCATCGGTGGCGTCGCGGCCTGGAAGACGGCGGCCATGTCTGCCTCGGCGAGCTCGCTCTGTATCGGGTTGAAGTGCATAGAAAAAACGAAAAAACAAAAGAAGCGCATATTGCATGTTTGGACTCACAGGCGTTGCTTGCTGCGACGTGTTATCGAGTTGCAAATTTTTTATTATTTTTTTAAAAATTTTTATAGGTAATTTCGTAAAAAAGTCGTTGATGTGAAAAGCCGTAAAACGGACCAGCATAAAACGGGACCTACCTGTATCGGGTTGAAGCGGACGCACTTCTCCGTCGCTCCGAAGTCCACAGTGTCGAGAACCTCCCGTATCGTCTGCCGCGCCTCTTCCTGGAGAGAGGAGGAGAGGGGGAGAGGTATATTTTTTATCTTTATTATCTCTCTATTTTATATATATCTTTTTTATATTATCTTATTATTTTATATATTTTTTCTTCATGTTGTATAGCATTGTAATTGTACTGTATCCGTCAAAAATTTTATCATTTTAACTACTCAACACTATTGCTTTTATCAGATTTTTTTCTCCATGGAAAAAACTGTCGTTAGTACATGCATTTGTATCTGAATTCATGCAATAAAGATTTAATAATAATAATAAAAGGTGGTCAGGATGCGGGAAAGAGACTAGTTTGTTACGGTGTGTGCGTATACATTACATTGTGCATGTGTGTGCAAGTGAGTGTGTGTGTGTATATGTACGTATGCATATATATACAGGGCCCTCGCTACCCACTCGCCAATTCGCCAATGGCGAACAAATTAGTAATCTGGCGATTGAAAGTCTTATTTGGCGAAAAAAGTGTACGCTATTATTGCGTTCACACTTCTCGCTTGCAGTTTACGACGCCTTGACCGCCGCCGACCGCGGACACCAGGTGTCGCCGGCGTGCGCGTGCGCGTTGCCATGGTTACCTTTGTAGTCGATGTCGACGAGGTCGATGGCCTGCAGACGGAAGGCCTTGCAGACAGTTACGATCTTCTGCCGAGCGTAGATCAGCTCACTCGCATCCTTGGTGCGAGTCGCCCCTGCAGCGATACGATACGTTACAGTACGTTACGATACAATACGGTACAATACAATACGATGTTGCGGTATGTTACGATGTTATATGATACGATGTTATAAATATGATACATTACGATACAGTATGGTACGATACGATACAATACGATGTTACGGTACGATACGATGTTATTAATATGATACGATACGATGCTATGTTACAAACATGATGTACAATGTTACATATATCACAATACTATACAATATAACATAAGATTACATATAATACTTTATAATATTACACTGTTTTAAGTTGGCAATGAACAATCTTCATAATGCAGATTGGTTATTTTGAGCACAAAGTTCCAATGTTCCTTCCGCACGCACTGCCTTAACGTACCATCTCCCCCCCAACCTTCCCCTACCGACTGTTACCCCCCAACCTTCTCCAACCACTACCACCCCCGCTGCCCCTGTCCCCCGCCGGCGCCACCTACCCACTGCCGCCCCTCACCCGCCGGCGCCACCTACCCACTGCCGGCACTCGCCCGCCGGCGCCACCTACCCACTGCCGCCCCTCGCCTGCCGGCGCCACCTACCCACTGCCGCCCCTCACCCGCCGGCGCCACCTACCCACTGCAGCCTCTCGCCCGCCGGCGCCACCTACCGATGTCTGCGATGTAGTCGTCGGAGCCGAACACAATGCCGTCCAGCTGGAAGCTTCCCAACGCCGACTTGTCGATTCCCTTGCTGCATATTTCGCGCAGGTTGATGAGGCCCTGCGCACTCTCGATGTACAGTATGAGGTTGACCTTCACCGAGAGGTTGTACTGTTGTAAGTGCACCTGTAACTTGTAGCAGATCTGCCGCGGAAGAGAGAGAGAGAGCGGCGCGTTAGATCAAGGTTATAACAAGGTTACGCTGCTGCTGCTGCCGCGGCGGGCAGGGGGGGAAGGGGCGAGTTAGATCGATGTACAGGATCAGGTTGACTTTCACGGGGAGGTTGTGTTGTTGTAAGTGCACCTGTAACTTGTAGCAGATCTGCCGCGGAAGAGAGAGAGAGAGAGCGGCGCGTTAGATCAAGGTTATAACAAGGTTACACTGCTGCTGCTGCT